ATGCATTTTCTAGATATATTTTTGTGTACAATCTCAAGCAGAAATCGGAGGCTTTTCCTAGGTTCAAGGAATTCTGTGCTTGGTTGGAAAATGTGCATGGTAAGAAGATAAAGACTCTTTTCAGTGATCGCGGGGAATTCACTTCTCAGCAGTTTGAAGCTTTTCTGACTGAGAAAGGAATTCAACACGATTTGTCTAGTCCTCGCTCGCCATGGCAGAATGGACTTGCGGAACGGGCAAATCAGACATTGCTTCAAGGATTAAAAACCTTGCTGCATGATGCCAATCTTCCAGAGAGTTATTGGGCCGAATCTCTCTCGTGTTTTGTTTACAGTTACAATCGCAGGTTATCTTCAGCGATTGGTTGTACCCCCTATGAGAAGATGTTTGGCAAGAAGCCATACATCAAACACATGAAGATTTTTGGTTCTGACATGTGGGTTCGCTCACCACAAAACTCCAAGTTAGACAAGCGTGGATTGCATGGTATCTTTCTAGGTTATCAGAAAGGGTCTTACAGAATAATGATGACTGACTCTAAGACAATTAAGCTCACGAGAAGTGTTGAGTACAATGCAAAGTGGGGGGAGAATGTGGGAATTTTTCAATGTTATCCTGATGACGGTGATGAGACTGAGGATAGTCAAAAGCAACCACAACAGCCCACACCCACTGATGAAGGTTCTGAGTCTGATTCTGAAACTGAATCGGGTGATTCAGAGGATTTCAAGAGTGCGAAAGCCTCTATGCGACCCTCTGAAAGCTCTGATCAAGAATTGGAGGAACCATTGTTCACAATAGGTCGTTTTTCTCCTAAGAAGGAAGAGGAGAGTGTTGAAGACTTAAGGCTAATTCGTAGGTCACAGAGAGCCACGAAAGGCAAACCTCCAAAGAGATTTGCTGATGAGTTTGCTAAGATAGCAGTAACAGCTGTTAAAAGCTCCAAGAAGGTATTTGAACCTTCAAATTTCCAAGAAATCCAGGGTTTGGATTCAAAGGAAGCTGAGCCATGGTTAAATGCCATGAAGGCTGAGCTTGATTCCTTAGAAAGGAACAAAACATGGGAGCTAGTTCCAGTAGTTCCAAGAATGAAACTGCTTGGAAGCAAATGGGTCTTCAAAGCGAAGACAGATCAAAATGGCAAGATAGTCAGACACAAAGCCAGATTGGTAGCCAGAGGTTTTGCACAGGTACCAGGTGAAGACTATCACGAGACCTATTCACCCACAGTGAGATATGAAAGCATTAGGCTTATGCTCAAGCTAGCTGCAGAGGAAAATCTACACATTAGTCACCATGATATTAATACAGCTTTTCTGTACGGATCTCTAGATGAATCACTTTATATGCTTCCACCTGATGGCGTACAGGTAAAACAGGGATTTGTTTGTGCTCTGAAGAAATCCCTTTATGGTCTCAAACAAAGTGCACGGTGTTGGCACACAAAACTCACTGAAGTATTGTTTTCTCTAGGTTTTCAGCAAGGGAAAGCTGATCCATGTGTATTTGTCAAAGAGGAGGGCAAAAGAAACTGTACTGTTTGTTTTATGTTGATGATTTATTATTCTTTTGGAAAGATGTCGCAATGTACAATAACGCCCTAGCTCAACTGAAAGAGCACTTTGACATGAAAGATCTTGGTGAGGTAAACAACTACCTATCTCTGGAAATAGAGAGAGATCAAGATGGTAACATTCTAGTACACCAGTCACGGAAAATTGCTGATGTGTTAAGCAAACTAAATCTGATGGATGCTAACCCTGTAGACACACCCATGACAACAGGTTATCAGGTAGATGACACTGAAGAAGCATTTTCTGACACTACACTGTACAGGAGTGTGCTAGGCAAGCTAAACTTCATTGCCAGATGTTCAAGACCAGACATTGCTGTTAGCTGTAATTTGCTAAGCAGACAAGTCAACAATCCTAGTGTCAAGGATTGGAAAGCTCTGAAACGCATAGCGCGGTATTTGAAAAGCACTATGCATTACAGACTGAGATTTAACAATCAGAAGTCTGGTGGTCTTGAGATATTTGCAGATGCAAGTTTTGGAAGTGACGCTACAGACAGGAAAAGTACGTCTGGAGTTTGCTACATGTACAATCAGAGTCTGTTTGATTGGTCATGCAAGAAGCAAACAACAGTTAGCTTAAGTACTTGTGAAGCTGAACTGAATGCACTGTCTTATTCACTTAAGGATTGTGAATGGTTAGTACAATTGTGCAAAGATATGAAAATTCCTGTCAAATGTCCAATCCAGGTTTACCAGGACAACAAAGCATGTTTGGCTTTGCTGAAGTCTGAAGGTTGTAAGCAAAGCACAAAGCACTTGCAATTAAAGTTGCAGCATGCTAGGGAATGTATTCAGAAGGGACTCGTAACGGTGTCCTATATGCCAGGTAATGAAATTCCTGCTGATGTATTGTCCAAGATTGTATCAAGGGATCAACACTGTACCTATGTGCAGAAGTTGGGTTTGTACTGATATTGTGCAAACACGCTGCCCAGTGATGTTCACAGAAAGGGGAGGATGTTGGTTTCTGCTTTCCTTCACTGTGCAGCTCTGCTTGTCACGAGACAGGTGTTTACATTCCACAGTCTGTACTGTTGGAGTTTCTCACGGGAAAGGGAGGCTGGATGTGACGTACACTGGTTTCCTGTTTTTCACTGTGTGATTCTCTCCGAGCTGTTGAGGAGAGAGGATGCATTTTTCTCTGCTTCGGCAGAGGCAAGATGTCTTTCTGTAATATACCAGCTTTGAACTGTAAATAAAGCTATAAAGAGTATGTAGCACGTATTCCTCATCCTTCCGCTGGGCACAAGACTCTGCTTAAATCAACATGCAGAACAATGAATAAACTGGAATAGTGTGGGGGCGGTCTGGTCGAAATCCACCTTGCATACACTATTGATTTGTCAATGACATGTTGCAGAATACACCCACAAAAACTCTCCAGCAGCCTAGAGGAGCCCTAAGTCCAGAATCTCACATTACTGAAACCATTTAGCACATTCTTCAGTTCCTTTTTCATACAGCTAGTTTTGTGTGGGAAGAGCTTTGATATTGGTAAAATCATGGTTATCAACCAATTCTGGAAAATATATTTGGGTGAGTACAGATGCAAGTGACTTCTATCATGTGCACTTCAAGGGTTACAGAGCCTTGAAGAGTAGTCTTGTAGGCAGAAATCCAACGGGTAAAGCCTTCTCAGACTTCCCTTTGCCCTCTGAGTGTCCTCCCCTGTCTTATGAATTATGGATGATAGTTGACAACCCAGGCATTTATCCCAATGATTTTATTCCTCACCCATTCTCATAAAAGGACGCTGCTAAACACGGGCAAATGTATTAGTTACCCACTGTAGAAAAGTGTCTCTGCTCCAGGCTAATGTGAAAGATGCCCAGATTCCGCTGCATTAAAAAGTCAGTGTGCTGAAGCATGTTAATGGTGGTTATATACTTTCTTTTTTATGCAGCGCCTTCACTTGCAACTTGCAAACTCCTTGTCTGACTGCCGTGAAAAATGGTCCACGGCTCAGTGACTTCAGTTCTGCTTCAAAGTGATTCATTGCTGCAAGTAGGGTATTTTCTCCCCTCGCCCTCCTTTCATTTCTTCCGTGTTGCCATTTGGCAGATGATAGTTTTAGCTGTGCTCCTCAGACCCCCGACCTGTTTCTTTTTTTTGCAGTTATCTCACACAAAGATCCCGCTTTAGTCGTCCTGGGTTTAAACGGCACACAAAGTAAACATGCACATTAAAAATCTGTAGCACATCATGACTCTGTGGTATGTTTACAGGCAACCAGAATGATATGTTCGCATACTAAGAAACTCTGTATTTGTACATCAGGTTCCCCTTTAACACAGCAGTGGAGAGCCTGTGGCTCTTCAGATACAGCTGGACTCCCACCAGTTGTGGCCACCATGGGAAATGGTCAAGGATGATGGGAGCTGTAGTCCAGCAACATCTAGTGGAGCACAGGTCACCTACTACTGTTTTAATGTGTGCATTGAGCTGTTCCTACCAGAATATGCCTCTGCCTCTGTAAGATTTACAGTGCAGTTTTAAACATAGATAAAGACTGACATGTAGAATTCTCCAGTGTCGAGGATTCCTGCAACTGTCATCTATGCTATTAATTGTGACAATCAAACTCAGTCCAATGGAAACAAAAGAAAAACTGGAGGGTGGGTTTCATTTTATTTATTACATTATTTATTTATGATGAAAATCTATTATAACAAATCGCTTTAAGGTTTGCTTGTATGGTTTTTCATGGTTTTAATATTTTCCAGTTGTGCACACCCACCCTAATATTTTATGATGAGGCAGTATAGAAATACTTTTTTAAATAAATAATATTTAAAATCTTTCTAGCTGCCCTATAAGACAACATCCTCATTGTTGGGCAGCTTTCAATTATTACTGTTGTCACTGTCATTCAATAAACAAACAAACACACAGTTGGACAGACATGAGAACTAAGGAGCGATTACCCACAAATGGAAACAATATACAACCCATCATAAAATAAACAAACTGTCTAAAAACAGGAAATGAAAACTAATATCCTAAAACCGCAGAGACCAAGACATGATTTACAAAAACACATGTTGTTAGCTAATTCCAGCACTTTTCACACAACATTCATTAGGAACTAATTTAAAGCAGATATGAGGCTTTTAACATGCTTAACATGAGTCAACTGGGTGATGCAGCAGCAATGAAAGCTCATGCTATTCTAGGCTGCATCAGCAGAAGTATAGAGTCCAGAACAAGGAAAGTCATAGTACTGCTCTATTCTGACTTGGTCAGACCACACCTGGAAAGCTGTGCCCAGTTCTGGGTTCCACAATTTAAAAAGAATATTGGCAAGCTGCAAAGTGTGCAGAAGATGGCTGGCATCAAGTTTTATCTGCAGAGAATCATAGAATTGTAGATTGGGAAGGGACCACGAAGGTCATCTAGTGCGACCCCCTGGAATGCAGGAATCCTTTGCTCAACGTGAGTCTTGAACCCACATCCCTGATATTAAGAGTCATGCTCTACCAATATATGAACCAGCGAGAGCTCTTGCTCTCGTGTCCTCTTTGTGGACTTCCCATAGGCATCTAGGTGGCCACAGTAAGAAAATAATGTTTTACTGATTTACTCAATAGGCTTTCGGTCTGATCCAGCCATAATCTCCAGAAGTGAAGAAGAGGTGAATCGAGACTTGGCAGAGAGCATCTGAACATCACATCATTTGGTTCGTCATATCAAATGACAGGCCTGACCTGTGATCTTAAATAGATGTCAAAGCCTTTCACTTGACCTGTTCCGGCCTTTTAATACTCAGTAAACGCTGGAGTGTCATTGCACTGGTCCTCATGAAGTTCCACTCACTGTACACTGGCTGAACCCTTGCCTTTCTCTGCAGCAGTATTTATAATAATATGCCCTGAAAATAATGACGAATAGTGAAGCTTTCAGCAGTAGAAAATCAGAACCTTTTCAAGCGTTTCAGGGCTGAGATTCGTGTGGCAGCCGAAGGATGAAATGTTGAAACTAAAACCTGTCAGGCATTCCTTCTCAATTACAAGCTAGCGCTTGTTAAAATACACTAAAATTGAGTCTGGTTCCTCTCACTAAATATTATCTTCTCAATTAAAATAGGTTCTTTCTCCTTACAGTGTCGGGAAGGTCTGCTATTCAGAACATTTAGGAAGGCAGCAAGGCCTGATTTGTGGGTAACGGCGACAGGGTGCATGTGGCGTCCTGTCGTGAAAAGCAATTTAAAAATGACTTTCATGCAATGGAAAGGTGAATGAATGCAAATTAAATAGCAAAAACCCATAGCTATTTCATCAAGACTCACAGCTGGTAAAAATAAAGATATTCTCGATGACTGCAATGATGGAAATGGACTAGTAGGTTTATGTGTGTTGATTTGGGTATAGGACTCCCAAACTGTTATCCCATCCCAGGGACATGGGCTAAATCAGTCTTCATCAGCCTAGGGCCTCCTGTTGTTTTGGACTACATCTCCCATCAGCCCCAGCCAGCACAGCCATGTCCAAAAACATATTTTATGTATTTCTTTTTAAAACCCTAATTGTCAGCACTGGAGTCAGGCATAGGTCCGCAGCAAAAATAATAAATCACTCAAGGTCATTAAATCTAAATATTTATTCAAGGAAACATACCACAGCTCAGGCCTAGTGGTCTCAGCAACTCATTTGCTCTTCATATCAGCCCTCATCATATTATCATGTGATTACATATAATCATTTTTCAGTACCTTTCTTCATTAAGACTTTGACTAATTTTCCTATTCATTAAATGTCTCCCAATATCCTCTTTTATTTGTCTACAAAACAATTGAAGATTAATCACAATTGCCATGCCTAACAAATTCTCTTTCCGTGCATACAAAATGGCCACCATAAATCCTAATGGCTTGTTCTTTTCAGTGTTCCAGAGCGACCATTCACTACATACAGTACCTAAAAGCAGCTAGTTCTGTACTATAAAAAGTAGGCAGGCACAGCTAGGCCATAGTCTCAAAAAATAAATATATGGAATAATCAAAATGATAGTTTTATGAAATTATTATTTTCTTCATCACTCTGCCACAACTTCCAGACTAGCAGAGAGTAGTATTGTTGCTGTCAGCTCAGTGAAGTAGGAAGTCAATTGCTTCCCACTTGGTTTTTATCCATCCTGTCACTAATACATATATTTTTGTTATGAAGAGTAAAACTAGAAGCATCCTGAACCTTATATTGTCTACTCTTGCTGAGCAGGGCCTTTATAACTCTGGGAAAATCTGAAGCTGCCGTATTCCAGCACAAAGGCTTCTTATTCGTCTTGAATTTAAGACCCCTGACTCTAGGCCTGACACTAGGGTTGCCATATTTCAGAAAGTGAGAATCCAGACACAAACTTTTTTGGCAAAGTTGTTGAGCTTTTTTTTTAAATGGAATTCGACAAAATCTAGACTTCCAATATTGGTTGCCATACATTTGGGTTTTCCTGGACATTTCAGCGATTTCCACTCGAACACTGCTTCCAACTGCAGTATTCTGGCAATTCTACCTGACACAAGTTGGAAAGGATGCCCGTTTTGTGATGGAGGAAAAAGTGCCACAAATCAATCAAAATTCCTGATGCTGTTTCAGTAGTCTATGCGGTATATAAAAAGAAGTCTGATGTAACAAGCAACCTGATTTTTCAGGTTCTATAATGAGAGAGACTGAACAGTATCTCTAATTGCCCTATTAACATTCTGCAGCATTAATTGTATAATTTGCATATGCATCTTGAATGATTCCAGATGCAGCCTCACGACTGAAGGATACAGGTGTGATTTTGAAGAAGTGAGGAAACCATTTCAGTACAGAAGTATGTCTCAAAAGTCCTGTGCCTGCAAATCTGCATGCAGGTAATCTTCCTTATATGCTGAGATTTAAATGTAATCTGCTTCTAGATTAAAGGCAGTTTCAACAACACAAAAGGAAAGCAACTGCAGAGAATGAATTTCTGAACATTCATCATGCCTGTTGCTGCCTTTTCTTGGATTGTGAAACTGTAAATGTTTGCAAAATAAACTCTAAGCTTCTTGCTAAAAAGCAGGTCTGATTGATATACCCTGGATATTTTCCCCATAGTCCTAATTCCTTTAGGGGCTGGGAACAAAATGTTAGAAGTTCATTAACCTCTTATGCACAAACCGGATTCTGTAGACTCCTCACAGATTTCATAATGTCCCTTTGATAATTGTAATCAGACGACAATAAAGCAGCTGCCCAGGGGGCCTTAGATAACAAAGTGTGCTCATCAGGTACTCTCCTCCTTGCATTAGAGGGGCTGCTTTCTTAGAACATAGTAAGATGCTTTCATAGAATTGTAGAGTTGGAAGGGATCATGAGGATCATCTAGTCCAACCGCTTACAATGCAGCTATCCCATACGGGGATCAAACCTGCAACCTTGGTGTTATCAGCACTGTGCTCTAACCAGCTGAGCTATCCAGGCTTGCAGTCCCAGCAAGAACACTCACATAACAGCCCAGAAACCTTTAGTGGCAGGGAATCAAATGGCACCAAAAGAACAATCATGTGCCACTGTATGATATAAAATTCACTGGGGACGCATGTAGCTCTGTGGTCTAAACCACTGAGCCTCTTGGGCTTGCCGATCAGAAGGTCGGTGGTTCGAATCCCCACGATGGGGTGAGCTCCCGTTGCTCTGTCCCAGCTCCTGCCAGCCTAGCAGTTTGAAACCATGCCAGTGCAAGTAGATAAATAGGTACCACTGCAGTAGGAAGGTAAATGGTGTTTCTGTGCACTCTGGTTTCCGTCACAGAGTTCCATTGTGCCAGAAGTGGTTTAGTCATGCTGGCTACATGACCCGGCAAGCTGTCTGTGGACAAACACTGGCTCCCTCGGCCTGAAAGCGAGATGAGCGCTGCAACCCCATAGTCACCTTTGACTGGACTTAACCATCCAGGGGTCCTTTGTCTTTTTACCTATAAAATTCACATTTCCAAAATACTGGGAGAATTTTTTCTCAGAAATAATGTATTGATATCCACAAGTTTAATCTTCTCTGCACATGCTTGGAATTTAAGCCGCCTGATGTCTGGCTGACTCCCTGGCTGATTTGAATACCAGACTGCTGCCTTCCTGCCTAGCCTAAGGTACCTGGATGAGTGCCTGGCAAATCTGACTATGCAGACAACTCTTGTGCAGAGTAGCATGCAATTTCATGGCAGGATTCCATGCCCACTTATGAATAAAACAGACAAATGGAAACTTGGCATTCATTTTTGTGGCTACAAGGCAAGCTGCATGGTTTGTTGGAGGGTGTCTAATGCTGTATCCCTAGGATGCTTCTGTGGAAGTCAATCATGTTTACAGGAATGAGATGGGCAGTGGAATCCTGTGCATTCTTCCTAAATTGTTCATCCTACCCAATACAGTGGGGTTTACCCACTAGCAAGCCCACTTATGACTGGAGCTTTACTTCTTGCAAGTACATCTGCTTGGGACTGGGATGTAAAGCTGACATATGAAGAAGAGGCTTAAATAATATAGAGGAGGAGAAAGAGAGAAAATGAATAATGAATGCATCTGTTTGATATCAGACACTGGGTACTTCATGGCACACTGAAATGAAATGTAATAATAATAATAATAATAATAATATATTTTTAAATTATTTATACCCCGCCCATCTGGCTGGGTTTCCCCAGCCACTCTGGGCAGCTTCCAACAAAATATTAAAATACAGTAGTCCATCAAACATTAAAAACTTACCAAAACAGGGCTGCCTTCAGATGTCTTCTAAAAGCCTGGTAGTTGTTGTTCTCTTTGACATCTGGTGGGAGGGCGTTCCACAGTGCAGGTGCCACTATCGAGAAGGCCTTCTGCCTGGTTCCCTGTAACTTGGCTTCTCACAGAGAGGGAACAGCCAGAAGGCCATCAGAGCTGGACCTCAGCGTCCGGGTAGAATGGTGGGGGTGGAGACGCTCCTTCAGCTATACTGGACTGAGGCCGTTTAGGGCTTTAAAGGTCAGCACCAACACTTTGAATTATGCTTGGAAACGTACTGGGAGCCAATGTAGGTCTTTCAAGACCAGTGTTATGTGGTCTCGGTGGCCACTCCCAGTCCCCAGTCTAGCTGCCACATTCTAGATTAGTTGTAGTTTCTGGGTCACCTTCAAAGGTAGCCCCACATAGAGCACATTGTAGTAGTCCAAGCAAGAGATAACCAGAGCATGCACCACTCTGGCGAGACAGTCCATGGGCAGATAGGGTCTCAGCCTGGTAAACAGCTGCCCTGGACATAGAATTGACCTGCACCTCCATGGACAGCTGCGAGTCCAGAATGACTCCCAGGCTGTGAACCTGGTCCTTCAGGGGCACAGTTACCCCATTCAGGACCAGGGAGTCCTCCACACCTGCCTGCCTCCTGTCCCCCCAAAACAGTACTTCTGTCTTGTCAGGATTCAACCTCAATCTGTTAGCCGCCATCCATCCTCCAACCGCCTCCAGACACTCACACACAGGACCTTTACTGCCTTCACTGTTTCTGATTTGAAAGAGAGGTAGAGCTGGGTATCATCTGCATATTGATGAACACCCAGCCCAAAGCCCCTGATGATCTTTCCCAGCGGCTGCATGTAGATGTTGAAAAGCATGGGGGAGAGGACGGAACCCTGAGGCACCCCACAAGTGAGAACCCAGGGGTCTGAACACTCATCCCACCACCACCACTTTCTGAACACGGCCCAGGAGGAAGGAGCGGAACCACTGAATAACAGTGCCCCCAGCTCCCAGCCCCTCTAGACGGTCCAGAAGGATGTTATGGTCGATGGTATCAAAAACTGCTGAGAGATCCAGCAAAAGTAGGAAGCAGCTCTCACCTTTGTCCCTAGCCCACCGGAGATCATCGACCAGTGCGACCAAGGCAGTTTCAGTCCCATGATGAGGCCTGAATCCCAACTGGAAGGGATCCAAATGGTCCGCTTCTTCCAGGCATGCCTGGAGTGGTTCAGCAACCATCCACTCAATCACCTTGCCCAAGAATGGAAGAATTGAGACTGGGTGTTAATTGGCCATATTGTCTGCGTCTAATGATGGTTTTTTAAGAAGTGGTTTGATAGCCGCCTCTTTCAGCAGGTCTGGGAAGGCTCCCTCACAGAGAGCAGCATTCACCACCCTGCGAAGCCCTTCGCCCAGCCCTTCCTGGCTAGCTTTTATAAGCTAGGATGGGCAATGATCAAGGAGACAGGTGGTTGGTTTCGCTCGTCCAAGCAGCCTGTCCACATCCTCGGAGGTAACAGGTTGGAACTGATCCCACGCAATTTGACTAGACAGGACTCCAGCACTCTCCTGCCCCAGCCCTGCCCCCACAGTGGAGTCTATCTCTTCATGAATCTGAGCGACTTTGTCTGCAAAAAACTTTGCAAAATCATTGCAGGAGATCATGTGGCCTGTACAGGGCCCTGATGGAGCAGGTGGTTCTGCTAAATTGCAAACCACCTGAAAGAGTCTCCTCCTGCTGTTTTCTGCAGATGCAATAGAGGGGGTGAAGAAGGTCCTCTTTGCTGTCGCTATTGCCACTTGGTAGGCTTGACATTGAGCTCTAACCTGTGTCTGGTCAGATTCAGAATGAGTTATCCGCCACTGGCACTCTACCCGTCTCAGTGATTGTTTCATTGCCCTCACATCCATGGAAAACCATGGGGCTGTCCAGGTTCCATGCAATCAGAGAGGGTGCTTCAGAGCCAAACAGTCAAGAGCCCTGGTTAACTCCACATTCCAGTAGGCCACCAGGGACCAGGGAATCAGCTGAAAGGCCATCAACATGGGATAGATAGATTAGATAGATAGATAGATAGATAGATAGATAATAGATAGATAGATAGATAGATAGATAGATAGATAGATAGATTACGGAGACCAGCTTATAAAACACATTTGGGGGTACAATCCCAGAAGGAAAGCAAACATTTAAAACAATGTACAACAATAAATTTAAAATTTTCAACATGGGGTAAAACATCCCCTACCACACTCTGGAAACCATTTGGATCCATTAAGTGGCAGGGGCAGACCATCCGAATCGGTCCCAACTCCCTGCAAAGGGGAAGGGTTGTGTACAGGCTTGCACAGGAAAATAATATTTCCAGTGAATTGTTTGTATACTTTGGCTGGAATGTAAGACTGAGCTGGCATTAGTAGTTTTGCTTTCAGCCAAGGTTTTGCCAAAAGCACAAAGCTGAGCTGATGTTCTTTTTGGAACATGATAGAACTGACAAAACCGCCTGCAACAGCAGTATTTAGCAATAAGATAGTGCACATTATATACAGCAGCAAGTTAATGCTTCTCACAGAGCTTGTGCAATCAAGAAATGAAAGCCAATTTACATAATCAGTGTTATAATCCATACAAGCAGGAAGTAAGATGCATTGATTTAAATAGTCTCTGGGAATCTGAAAGAAAGTTCTGTGTGCTTTATGGGACCAAGAATAGAATTAATTCTAATAATAAGTAGTAATAATAAAGGATTACATTTAGTAGCCTGGCAGATCTATTCTGTACTGTACTCAAAAGCTACATATCAGTGTGATTCTTTAGACCCTGTTTTGTACCACCCACAAGAGAGAGAGAGAGAGATTGTTTTTGTATGCTTTTGGAATAATTTCTATTGAATTTTATGGCATATCTGCAAATATCAACACTGAATACATAGATCACAGTATTGCTTATAGCAAATAAAGAAATGAAAAAGGAATAAACAAATAAAGGTGACTGATGGAATAATTGATCATAAATATCAGAAGGCTGATCTAATATAAAACAACAGAATACAATAGATGATTTGTGAATAAAGAACCTTTGTTTTTACTTGTTTCTTCAGTGCTAGCTCCATGAACAACAATGCTCAAAGGCTTTCAGAGGGTGGCAAATATGATACTGGTGTTATTGGACTTTAACATCTAAATGGCATCTGTCCAAGGTACTTAAAGGCAGGCTCTTACAAGATTTCTTGTGTTTGTATTCTGATTGGAATATACAAAATGTGTCTTTGTGTCTGTGGTTGTAATGGTTCTAGGGGTTGCTCGTGCATAAGCCGGTGCAAGCACCTGGCTGGATTGCCTGAGTGAACCTTTTCTGTCCGGACAGCCACTCACCTGTGGCTGTCTCAATCGCTGGCAGAATCCGTCAGTGGGCGTTTCTTAAACTTCTTCCAGCAAAGAAGCTCTTTGACGCCTAGTCTCCGCCTACTCTCTCTGCGCGGAAGCCTTCTGCGCAAGGAGGGCGTAGGCAGCGGAGGACCTCTACTCTCCCCGCTGGTCCCCGGCAAGGAGTCATGGGACCGCCTTGCCGCTTCCCCCATCTGCCCCCCTTCTCCACTGGTGCTATGCTGATTCTCTTCCCCAGAAGATGGGCTGCCTCTCCCAATCCTGGGACGCTCTCCGGAATCCCTCTGGATTTTGCTCTCTCCCTCCGGCACTGATGGCAGT